CTATAGCCTAGGGCACTTGCCCGGAGGTCACAGCGCTCTAGTCCCAGCCGCGACCTAAACTTGCACCCGACGCTAGTTCAGGTGTCCTGCCAGCGGGGCACACACGCTGCGGTAGTAGACCTTCGTCCTCAGCTGTGGGGCCCTGTAGAAGGCGGGGCTGGCGTCTTAAAACAGCGGCGTGGGCGTGGAGCTGGACCCCGGACCCTGCCGGCTGCCCCAGATCCTAGCCTAGGGCACTTGCCCGGAGGTCACAGCGCTCTAGTCCCAGCCGCGACCTAAACTTGCACCCGACGCTAGTTCAGGTGTCCTGCCAGCGGGGCACACACGCTGCGGTAGTAGACCTTCGTCCTCAGCCCTGTGGGGCCCAAAGATGGAGGGACAAAAACCTCCGGAGGGCCAGCCTGACGATTAAGTAAAAACTAGGGGCAAAGGGAGCTGGTAAAGACTGGCTGCAACACAAGCACTCCTGAGCACAGACACCCTGGGAGCGCCTTGCCAGCGGCGGCCACGGGCTTCTGGGAGGCTCCCATCTCACTCTGCTCCTGCTTGACAGCGAGGAGCAGCTGTCTTCCAGAACCCCAGGTAGCTCTGGCCCTGAGGTCATCAAGGATAGGCTGTGGGGTTGGTAGTGGAGCCCAGAGCCGCCCCTGGGTTACGTTCTTGTCTGGTGTCTTGGTAATGTCGCCCAGCCATGCAAAGACAGCTTCCCTGAGACTGAGGAAGATGCCAGGTAGGCAGCCAAGCACGGGGAGAGTGAGGGTCAGGAGGAAGCCCAAGGTTGGGGAGAAGGATGCCCAGGAGACTCTGGGGATCAGACTTCAGAGACCCTAGCAAACAGACCCAATGGCTAAGATGCAGAACTGGCCTGACAAGGAAGCGCTGCTTTGTGAAAAGTGTCTGAGACCAGAAGAGAGATGGCCTCTGTAGTCAGGGCCACCCAGGTTCCACCCAACCCACTGAGGGTGCTTGGCTGTGCCTGTGGCTATGCTTCACCTGTGGAAAACGAAAATGTCCACCAAGTCCAAGACTACAATGTCACCAAAGAGGAGGTGACAACTGGGTGTGGTGGTATGTTCCTATAATCCCAGTACTTGGAGGCTGGGCAGGACTGCCACAAGCTTGAGACCAGCCTGAGCTAGAGTTTCATGCCAGCCTCAACTACATAGCACAATATCTAGTCCCTGGCTCATTAAAATTAAAAAAAAAAAAAAAAAAAAA